ATTATGATTATATCAAAAGCAAGCACATGCAAAAAAAAAAAAAAGTTTATAATTTTTTTTTATTATTAATTTTAAAGGATAATTATATTGGTATTAATTATCTTCATCTGGAATATACTCTGAATGTTCACTATCACTTGCACTATCACTACTACTTTCTATCTCACTGTAGGCTCTTCTGCTAGGAATAATGGCAGGAAGGATATCGATATGTGAAGCAAAAGATAATAAAAAAAAAATTAAATGATTTTAATACCATTAGATAGACAAAAAACACAGATAATAACATATTATAGAGTATACGATATAAAATAAATATCGAAAAAGATATTAGAATTCCAAGATAACACTGTGAGTCCCTAAACTCCACATCAACCAGAGAAAATTTATGGTTGGGAGAGGAAAAAAAATCAAGGTGTTATAGGTGTCCTAGTGTTTTGGCATCAGTAACACAAAATCACACTCAAAAATGGAAAGAAAGAAAAAAAATCAGAAAGTATTATTGCTTATAATATGTTCATTATAATTTAAACAGTTCAATATTATATCAATTAATTAAAAATAAGTGATTTTTAAAAAATTCACGATTTAAACAAAATCTCAATAAGCAGTTCTACAACTTTATGTAAATATCAATCATTCAGGTTTATGGATTGATACTAAGAATATCATATTTTTGGTAATATAGATGTTCATTGTAAAATAAATGTTAGAGAAAAAAATTATATTACATAATAAAACAAGCAAGATTAAAATAAAACTTTAATAACCGCATATTAAATATAGTATCAGTATAAAAAATTAAAAAGATTTTAACTAGAAAGATCAATAATATTTAAAATAAGGTGAATAGATAAACAAATAAATAAGTTAGCTTTTTAAAAAGTAGTAAACAAAATAAAAAAGTATAGCAAAAAAAAGTAAAATAAAGTAAATAAATTCTAGCTTATATTTCATAATATCATAGTAGCTTATAGTCAAAAATACGTTTATATCATAAAGCTTCGTAACAGTTGTCTGTATATCATGGTAGAAATTTGATATATTCAAGCTCATGGTTTCTTCGTGATTTATTATCGTATGTAGATTTTATTAATGATTTACTGGACTTTTTAAATGCATTTTATAGTCAATATGTCTCAGCCAATAACGAAGAAAGAAATATTATGATTTCAAAAAAAAACCTTCCATTTGTACTTTAGACATTCGAAGAGTGTTGGAGCCAAATCAGGATAGAAAAAGAAAAAAATTAGTAACATATCGTAATTGCAATATCATTATATCTATCTTTTATATATATATTTATATGTATATGTATATATTTGTATATATAGATTCTTTCTATTATTTTTTTATAATGTGTATATTTATTGGCACGGATTTTTAAATCGCCATTTTTTAAAAAAAATTTAAACGCGACTAAATTTTTTTCACTCTTTTTTCTCGTTTTTTTTTTTTTAATAAAAAATTGTATATTATTTATCACTATAATGACTTCACGTCCTGAATTTGGAGTATCCTCCTCCAGATTCACCAATAAAGGGCAACGAAGAACTCAGCTTGGTTCTACTAGAGCTAATGCTTCATTAAAAAAATATGGATTACCTTCTAAATCTAATAATGAACCAACAAATATAGATCAACGTTTTGACGACATCAACACTCTTGATGAAATAGAATCTAGATTTGGATTTGATCGATATGAAGAGGGGCCAGAAAGATTAGGTTGGCTTATCAATATGCATGCTGTAAGCGTTTTCTTTTTCCTTTTTTTTTTTTTTAAAAAAAAAAGAAAAACCAATAGATCCATTTCCTTCTTAAAAAGCTTTTATTTATTTATGTTTTATTATTATTATAATTATTATTACTATTATTGAATATATAGACTTTGATTACGGACGACGATTGGAGCGGTGGATATGCTGGTGTTAATTATTATTTTATTGCTGAAAATGGGCAAACTTTTAAATCAACTCTTCGTTATAGTCCATATTTTTATATTGGCTGCAAGGTACTAATATATACATATATATACATATGTCCCGTAACTAATTTAAACTTGTATTTTCACTTTGACATATGTTTATAACAATAGCCTGGGACTGAAGTTGAAGTTGAAGACTATCTTCGTAGACGATTTGAAAATACTATTGAAAAAGTTATAAGATTAGAAAAGGACGATTTAAAACTGGTAAAGTAGAAATAATTTATAAAAGTTAATCGAAAATCAGTTGCATATATCAAAGTGCCTTTTTTTTAACATACATGTATGCAATTTTATAAATTTTTATATAGCCAAATCATTTAATTGGGAATACAAAGTTATTACTTAAATTATCATTTCGTAATGTATCCGATCTATTATCTGTACGAAAAATCCTTTTACCAGTAGCAAAAAAAAATCAATTAAAATTAGAAGCCGTGGATACGTACGCCAAAGTTGTCAGGTAGGTTTAAATATAAATGGAAGGATAATAATTATGTGATTTATTTATTAATTTTTACAAAATAAACGAATATTAATTTGATTTTTGATTAATTATATTTTTTTAAAAATATTAGTGAAACTAATAATATATCTTATGAATCACAACATGTATCTACAGCCATGTCATCAAGAAGAAACCTTCAAGATGCTTTAGATTATATTATTGATATTCGTGAATATGATGTCCCTTATTATGTCAGAGTGGCTATTGATCTTGGTAAAGTAAGATAAGAGATATTATATTCATACATTTTTGAAAGAAGTGGTTGATCTAATATAGCGTATATTGATAGATATTCGCGTTGGACTTTGGTATACCGTTAAAGCCCAAGATGATGGCATGACTACACTTACAAGAAGAGTTGATCTTGTACATCGTCCTGATCCTGTCATTTTGGCGTTTGATATTGAAACTACAAAGTTACCACTCAAATTCCCTGATGCTGCTATTGATTCTATCATGATGATTTCTTATATGATTGAAGGAAGGGTAATATGAATGATTTAAGTAAATTGAGATATACCCACTCACCCATATTATACTATTATTAATATTAAATCCACAATTATAAATGGTAATATATATAGGGTTACCTTATTACGAATAGAGAAATCGTTAGTCAGGATATTGAAGATTTTGAATATACACCAAAACCTGAATTTGAAGGACCTTTTATAATTTTTAATGAACCTGATGAAGTAAGATATATAATAGTTAAATATAGCATATTTTGTACCGGATTATATATGAATAAATTAATTAATAAATATACACGTACATTTTTTTTAGTATGCATTATTAAGACGATTTTTTGAACACATTCAAGAATCAAAACCAACAATATTTGTAACATATAACGGTGACTTTTTTGATTGGCCGTTTGTTGAAGCTAGAGCAAAAGTACATGGAATTGATATGTACCAGGTAATTAATATATATATATATATATATAGGTATATATTTGTATATGAACTTATTTATATATATACTTATATTAGGAAATTGGTGTCTACAAAGATGAAGAAGATGAATATAAATGTAAACATGCTTCACATATGGATGCTTTTAGATGGGTTAAACGTGATTCATATTTACCTCAAGGAAGTCAAGGTCTTAAAGCTGTTACTACTGCAAAACTCGGTTATAACCCTATGGAACTGGATCCTGAAGATATGACTAGGTAATTTTAAATATTTGGTTATAGATATATATTTAACGAGAAAGGGAAGTATTTATTTTTTTTATCATTCTTTTTTATTTTATTTTAAAAAAATAGGTTTGCTTCAGAACAACCACAAACGTTAGCACAATATTCAGTTTCTGATGCCGTTGCAACTTTTTATCTATATATGAAATACGTCCATCCATTTATCTTTTCACTGTGTAATATTATTCCTCTAGTTCCTGATGAAGTTCTTCGTAAAGGGTCTGGTACATTATGTGAATTATTACTAATGGTAAAAATAAACATGAGATAAAATAATATGTTAAATAATTCAAAAAATTTTATTAATGCTCTTTTATTCTTTTTTTCCTTCGCATTTTTTTTAATAAAAATAATAATAGGTAGAAGCTTATAAAGTGAATGTAATTATGCCTAATAAACATGTTGAAGAGACAGATCAGTTTTACAATGGTCATAAAATTGAAAATCAGACTTATGTAGGTGGACATGTAGAAGCTTTGGAAGCTGGTGTATTTAGAAGCGATATTCCAACTGATTTTAAATTAGAACCATCTGGTGCACAGCAAGTAAAAAAAACATTCATAAATTAAATATTTATTATTATGCACAGTTTTTTATATATAATTAATTTTGCTGCTCTTATTTTTAATGTTATTATTTAGCTTATTGATCAATTGGATGATGCTCTCAAATTTACAATTCAAG